CACCTCCAGCGGGGGCTGTGGGCTCCGGCCCCGGCGCCGCCGCCCCGAGGCCGCCACGGCGCCGTGACGCGGACGGAGCTGCCGCCGGAGAACACCGCGAAGGTACGGAGCGCTGGTGGGGCTGCCCGTATGGTACTTGTCCTTACTTAGGAGTTGTTCGTTCTTCCCAACACCTCCACATTACACCCCGGTGAGGAGCAACCTGCTTACAAAGGCCATCACTACCAGTGGAAACGCGGGGCAGGGAGCGCGGGATGAGCGGGGCAAAGGGATCGCGGGGAGAGCGGAGAACGCGGAGCCGCGAGGTTGGAGCGGCCACGGGCAGAGCGGGGCCCGAGCTCTGCTCCCGCCGTGCTCCCGCACAGGAGCAGCTCCGGGGCCGCCCGCTCCGCTCCGCTCCGCTCCTGCGCGTCCCGCTCCGCCGGCCCTCCGGAGCTGCCGCCGCGCGGCGGCTTCCCACGGAATCCAAGGAGAGAGCCCGGCTCCCGCCCTGTAATTATCAAATCAGGCCGCAAATGAGGAAGAATTGCGAATCCTCATTATAGCACATCATAAAACACGGAGAGGTCCCTCGCCTGTTTTACGCCCGTGCGCAGCCTGCCAACAAAACTTCACAAAGAGCGCAGGAATTCGTGTTTGCAGAGATATTAAAGTCATAAAAGGGAAAAAAATTTATTTTATTTTCCCACAGCCTAAATGAAGGTGAACCGAGCAAATTTGGCAAAGAGCACGAGGCAGATGCCATTTCCCACAGCAATATGGTATTTTCCTCTGGGAATAAAACATTTTCCTTAAACTACTGTTTATAACTCTTATCAGTTCAACAGCAATAGAGCCATCAAGTCCAATATCTTGTGGAAAAAAGTCAAGGTCAACAAGTACTTGCATTTTCGTTTATCTTTAGCTGCAATTGCTACTGACATTCAATTGGGTAATAAACATGAGGACTGTCAAACGCTCTCAGCAAACAGGTGATCCAAGAGCTATCGCGGAGGAAGAGGCTCCTGCCAGGTAATCAAACAGAGCTCTGGCAACAATTATGATTGGAGCGCATTCATTTGCAGAGCAATCGCCTGTCAGAGCTGAATGGATATTGTCAAGCCGTTCCCACCACCCGGGTAATACGGGGGAGAAAACAGCAACTACGGCTGCTCTCGAGTTCCCACCAGCACAAGCGCAGCCGCAAAAAGGAGAAAAGGAGTAAATCAAAAATCCGGAACGTTGGATTAAAAAATCGCTTAAACACCAGAGCACCTCAAGCCAAGTGGAGCACCCTTCCCATAGCTGGAGAGGACCTGTTCTCCAGAAGTTTGTCTAATCTCTTTTCAGCCCCTTCCCACCTCTGCAGCACGCAGCACCTGTGAACTTTATGCAAGATGCAGAATGCATAAAACCACCTTCTTGCTGGTTTTTAGCCCGGTAATGCTCCGGAAAGCTCCCGTGTTGTGACAGCCCGTGAACACACACACACACCTTGTTCTCATGTCGTGGGACGCGCGCAGGCCTCATCCCCCTTCCCCGTGCACCACTCAGCATTTTACACACTGCTCCCAGCCTCCATCATCTTCTCTTTTTCCCTGGCATTTCACAGGAAAGGCGAGGAGACGGCCTAGGCCGAGCAGCCGCCGCAGCCCTGTTGTGTCACTAACCCGGGAGCAGGGAACACCTACTACAGGTTTGGATTCACTGCAGCGAAAGGGCTCTCAAAGTGGTGGCAGCTCAGAGGCACTGCTTTGCTGTCCGACCCGCGGATCTCGAGAGGCCCGTGATACACCACAGGGGCTCCCGCTGCTCCGGTGACACCACCGAGAGCCAGAGACACCAGCGGGGTCCCCATGGGGTCCCCTGGAAGGGACGGGGGACAACCTGGATTATCCCATGAGTTTTCCCGCCAAACAGTGTTCCACGTGTGAGAGCAGAGGCCGCGGGCCGCGGCCCTGCCTGCCCAGCTGCGCGCGCTCGGGCAAGGCCACGCGGAGCTGCAGCGCGAGGGCGCTCCGGGGTTTGGGCTCGCGTGCCCGAACGAGGGGCACCGCGTGGCCGGGGCGGGAGGAAGGCTCCGGCGCACGGCGCTGCTGCCTGGTCACAGACCACGGGCGTGTTTGTATTTCCATAGCCACTTCAAATGTCAACAGTTCCCAAAGCAATCTCCCCTGCTTCGCTCTGCCAACGATGGCAACAGCTCCGGCCTCGGAATCTGCCATCTGAGAGCAGCTCGAGCGGCGCTGGGCCCGCGCGGACACGCGCGCCGCTCTGCAAACCTCATCCTCACAGCCGACCCGAAGAGCAAGGTGCTGCTTACACCGAGGGTGCTCCTAAGCGAGAGGGTTTCTACAGGAAAGGCACCAGTTTGTGGCCTTGCTGCCCACTGCGGAGGCAACGCGAGGAGCGTTGCTTAGGGTTCCTGCTGCCCAGTCCCGAAGCGCCCGGCTCGCAGCACTTGGCGCCGCTCGGATCGCGCCGTGGCGGCTGAGCGGGGCTGAGGAGACGGGGAGAGAAAACAGAAGGAGGAAAAAAACAGTTTCACGCCCTCCGGCTTCGGAGCAGGATGATAAATTGACATCATGTTGTTATGAGCATAATCCTCCAGTACTCAATCACTGTTAAAAAATACAACACGATCTTGAGGAGATAAAAATCATTAATTCTGGTGCTGCTGGAGAACGTGCATCTACACGGGGCGCGCCGAATCTGCAGCGACCATTCAAGTTTCATGCTCAAAATTCAAATAACATGTATGTATGTACATATATATACACATATATCTCTGCCTTTCTTTTATTTTAACTCTCGTATCTCACGTCAAAGCAAGAGGCACAGGTGCACGCCCTGCTTCAGAGCTCCCCAAGCGCTGCAGCTCCACGGCAAAGAAAGGGAGGACAAGGGATGGCCGAGCCTTGGGGAGCCGCCCGCCGCCCCCTCCGCCTTTCAAAACAAGCCCATTAGGTTTAATTCAAGAGCCACAATATATAAATAACCCAAAAAGCACTGGGAACAGCCCCTGTTGACTAATGCCCCTGTCTCTTTCAATCGAGGGTCACATCTAGTCTAACCAGTCGCATGATAATGGCATCAGAAAAGGTCAATCAAAGACGAGCCGGAGCTTCCCCTGCCTGGCTGACCTTCGGCGCGCGGGACAAATTGCTATCAGTCAATGTCAGCTAATGACAGCGGCTCTTTGGCTAATCAATTGTTCTAAAAATGATCAAGAAAACTACTCACAGGACAGCTCATTTTCACATCAATGCCTGTGAAGTATGAAAAGCTCATTTTTTGAGTTTTTAATAAGCTCATAAGTAAAGCAGTTACTTGGTAACAGGGGTCACCTTACCGAAAAGACAGAACCTTTGTCTGCCTTTTACATATTCTTTTATTACCATATTATAGTAAAAAATATGCTGGGCTATTATGGTGCCAGAGGGCTACATAATAAAGCAGGCGATACTTCATACCTTTCTTTTTTATTCTTTTTTTTTTTTTTTTGAGATAAATACTTTGGCGTTTGGGAGAAGCTCTGTTTGGCTGTAGGTAATTGGCGGCCCCCTCTGCACGTGTTCAAATGCAGAGCGAGCAGCGCGGCACGAAGGCGAGCGGCCCGACCGCGGGCCCGAAATCGGAGGCTGGACACAAGGTACAGAACTCAGCGCGTGGGTCAGGGCCCAAAGCAGCAAGGCCGGTGCTGCCAGCGCTCGCTGAAGAGCGTTGGCCAACGCGTTGGGCAACACTTAAGCGAAGCTGTAACGGGAGAAGGTGAAAAATGAAGTGTCAGAGCGGCCAAGGAAGGGCCGCGGTGAAGGGGAGCCGCAGCCCGAAGCCCGGGCGCAATGTGCCCGCTAAGAGGCCCCATAACAGGCTCCGTTGGTCACGGACCAGCCAGCAGCGCCAGCGCCTGCGCGGCCCATGGGCGGCTTTGCTTCCACGTGGAGAAGGGCGAGTGGGGAGATAAACGCTCCTCGGCTGCCTGCACAGCAACACAGCTCCCTTCTCCCTCTCTGGCCAGGCTCCGTGGGCATTAAAAATCAGGAAAAACAACAACAAAAACCCCACAACCCCCTGGCTTAAAAGCAGCTGCACGAGATCAGTGTTCGGCAGCCTGACTATCCAAAAGACAAAGTGAAATAGCTCCGGTAACATCCCAAATGGGATTCTTTCGCAGCTAGGACAGGCAGTAGAAATGAAGGCCGGTGCCGCCACGAGCCGTGAGCTCCGTTTTGTCCCCGTTTCGCCCAGCCGCAGCCAAGGACTCGCTGCTCCTTGCCGGCAGCGCTTGGAGAGCCGTTTCCCACTGTTAGGAGCAGCCTCCGAAGGCCCTTGGTCGCAAGGACGTGGCCACGGGGCAGCAGCCGCTACGCTTTTCCATAGCGTTATTCCGCATTCCCGCACTGTAACTATCCCCTCCTACGACACAATCCCGGGCCTTTCCAAGCGGCGCTGCCAGCCTGCCCTGCAATAACATACCCTGCTGTTCAGCGGCACGAGACCGCGGAGCAGCTCCCTGGCAGTTAAATATGGATTTGCACAATAGAGCCTAACAGCTGGGAGTCAGCGCTATCTGCTAAGTAAATAAATTTGCATGAAAAGAAGAAGAAGAAAAAAAAAAGAGCTTTGTGGTGTTTACATGCAGGAGCATCTCTCCTGCTTTCCAAGGTGGTCACTCCGAGTATTTTGTACATGGGGCTGTAAATGAGTGAAAAATGCACTCCAGAGGGATTAGAAAAGCAGCTGTGAAGCAGGTAGAGAAGAGAAGCTTTTAAAAAGGCCCAAAATAGCCTTCAGCACAGGCGGGTTAAGGAGGAAGCGTGCACGTGAAGGAGCAGGCTCTTGTCAGGAGGCTCCGTGGGCACCGGGGAGAAGCCAGGGGAGCCCCCCGCGGCACCCAGCTGTGCCCGGGGGACCAGGGCCCTGCACAGGCCCCGCAGAGCGCGGCGCCTGCACGCCCCATCCCGCAGCAACCCATGCGCCCCATCCAGAGCCTCTGACGTCTCCTCCGGAGCCTCTAC